ATGGGTCTGATGGGTCTGATGGATCTGATGGGTCTGATGGATCTGATGGTTCTGATGGATCTGATGGTTCTGATGGGTCTGATGGTTGATGGTTCTGATGGATCTGATGGTTCTGATGGATCTGATGATTCTGATGGGTCTGATGGATCTGATGGTTCTGATNGTTCTGATGGGTCTGATGGATCTGATGAGTCTGATGGTTCTGATGGTTGATGGATCTGATGGGTCTGATGGATCTGATGGTTCTGATGGTTGATGGTTCTGATGGATCTGATGGTTCTGATGGTTGATGGATCTGATGGGTCTGATGGTTCTGATGATTCTGATGGTTGATGGGTCTGATGGGTCTGATGGTTCTGATGGTTGATGGATCTGATGGGTCTGATGGTTCTGATGGATCTGATGGTTCTGATGGATCTGATGGTTCTGATGGGTCTGATGGATCTGATGGGTCTGATGGTTCTGATGGTTGATGGATCTGATGGGTCTGATGGTTCTGATGGATCTGATGGTTCTGATGGATCTGATGGTTCTGATGGGTCTGATGTATCTGATGGTTGATGGTTCTGATGGTTCTGATGATTCTGATGGATCTGATGGTTCTGATGCTTCTGATGGGTCTGATGGTTCTGATGGATCTGATGGTTCTGATGATTCTGATGGTTCTGATGATTCTGATGGATCTGATGGTTCTGATGGTTCTGATGATTCTGATGGTTCTGATGGATCTGATGGTTCTGATGGATCTGATGGTTCTGATGGGTCTGATGGGTCTGATGGTTCTGATGGATCTGATGGATCTGATGGGTCTGATGGTTCTGATGGATCTGATGGTTCTGATGGATCTGATGGTTCTGATGGGTCTGATGGATCTGATGGGTCTGATGGGTCTGATGGATCTGATGGATCTGATGGTTCTGATGGATCTGATGATTCTGATGGGTCTGATGGATCTGATGGTTCTGATGGATCTGATGGTTCTGATGGATCTGATGATTCTGATGGGTCTGATGGAT